TACTAGACACTGTATAATAAGTCCTCCAGCTTTTTACTCATTAAGACCTCACAACACGAGGCTTATAACTTCCCAAACATCAGGCGCTTTGATCTAATCCTGGAGCTGAGAACAATCTAATTTTTCCATCTTATTTTCTCCTATTAACAAGAACAGTCACTCTGCACATCTTCAGAAGAGACCCTATTTGATGTTCTGTAAAAGTCAACCCCCATCCCTCTTTCTTCTCCCTTCGCTCCCATCCCTACAGCCGCCTCAACAGAAGCTGAACCAATTCATTAGAAGGCTCAGAAAGTCAATTATGGTAATGGTTCCCAATGCCACAGAAGATGGAAACTCAGCAAAGCCAGATACTTTTTTATTGCACTTCTTATACATATTCTTCTATATATTTTATTTAGGCCTCATTTAGATGTGCAAATCAATCTTCTGAAGTAAAGAGTGCAAAAGGGCTGAAGAGAGACAGAGAGAGAGATGGAAAGGATGAAGAGGGAGGCATTGGTTCCAAGGATTTCACGCAGTGTAGCAAAGACGAAGTGATGATAGAGGAAGGGTAGACCCAGTGTCAGGAGACCATCCACAGGAATCCCTTTTACTTATTCATGCAGCAGCCGAGCATCAGGGAATCTCCCAGCCTCATTATGAAATGTGTATTTGCAGAAGCTCACACAGTGGTGTAGCTCTTGCTTGAAAGCCTCTGCTTATCCACTCCACTCTCCTCCCTTCTCCCTCTCTTTTTTAGATCAGATCACTCTAGGGAAGCAATGTCTTGCTTCATTCATCAAGATGCCTCTCCTACTGTCCTAAATCCCTCTCTTTCTCTTTTCTATGAAAGGGGAAGCTGGCTAATTTCAACAAGTTTGTGTAGCTGGCATGGAAGGGAGGCGATGCTTGAGCTGAAGTTTGCATTTACTTATCATCTGTTTTTGTGCCAATTTGAGTGACAGGCAGAGCAATGACAGCATTGCACCACTGAGCAACTGCATTTAAAGTCAAAACATGTATGAATGCATGTTAAAATATCTGAAACTAAACATTTATTCTGCTTTTAAAATGCATACTGTATGTGTGCTGTAAATACTATATGCTTTTCAGTAAAACATTCACTAAACACGTCCCCTTGATTTGTAATCATTGCTTAGCATCTGTGGCTAGGCAAGGCAGACCTGTCAAGCTTTGGTTTTCTCCACATGGTGAAGCAGTGTGCTTTGGGCTATAGTAAGAACAATACTGTGCCTTAGAAGAGTTTGGAGGGTGATGTCTTTTTTGTCTCCAAAGCCTGTCCAACATAAGCAGACTATAGTATTAACCTAACCCTGCATTACTGTAAGTCCAGGGAGTACATCATTAACTAACTCCATTTTGAGGGGTTACTTATGTCAAAAAAATACTCTTTCCTAATAGCACATCCACTGTGTGTAGCTCTGTCCTGCTGTTGATTGAATTTGCGGAAGTTTACACTCCCTAGCCAGCATTATCTGAGATTGCATTATGTTTGTCATGCATAGTGGTTAGTCCTCATACTAAAAGCCTTTTCTCTTGGAACGTTACAATGGAAAAATACTATTTGAAAATACGAATAATAACATATAAATCTAACCTCTGTCTTGCTTGTCCAAATATATAAGCCTAGGGTTATGTTAGAATGGAATAAGACACTGTCTGATTTTATATCTTTCCTTGTAAGATCAGCATTCTTTTTCTTCAATGTCTTCCACATGGATTGTTATCTGGTGAGAAGGCTTTTTTCCTGGGACATGCAGCTTTAGTATTTTAGCATGACATCATGTATGTAGCCATCAAGTGTATATTTAAGATCCCTTTTTGAGATTCATGTTTTAAAACGACTCAGCTAGAAACATTTAAAAGTCAGCTTGTGACCGCATTTTCAAATGCTTGTCGTTACAGCTGAGAAAATCTGCCATGTGTTGTTTCAGCTGACCAAATCCACAGTCGCTGGCTAGAAATGTGAAGCCTGCTTTTGTCTACTTATGTCTGATATCAAGGATCAGTTGTTTAAAGGGAATTTCGAATTGTAAATCTGCCACCGTCATCATTGAAAACTTTATTTTGATAGTGTGACCGTACATACTACTCAGGCATACAGCTTGAAGGACTGGTGTGTAGTGGCATATAGCAGTGAAGGTGTCTCAACTGAACCACTCGCCTTCCACAAGTGGTTCAGTAGGAGAAACTATAGTGAAACATGAAAGGCCCTATCTAGAGGCAGTGTTTGGTTTGTCCATTCTAGGCCACTGTAAAAGCCTGGTGGTTCAACATGGCGGCCTCCATGAAAGAGGACCCACTCCCTCTGTAGATAAAAACATCTCATTCTTATTTTAAAAAAAACACAATGATTGTTATTTTAAGGTGTACACAATATGAATGAAAACATACCCATGAATATTATATTCAATTTCTGACAATAGATCCTCCCAAATGTTACATACTGCACCTTTAATGTTAAAGTGAATTAAGATTCCACTCAGATTACAATATCTCAACCATACAGCCCCCTCCTGTTCTTCAATACTTTTTCAGTTCAAAGGTCACTCCCAGTAGCTCCAGCTCATTTCAGAGTAGAAGCTATTTGTATATTTGTCTCGTACAATGCCACCTCAGTGCAGGGTTGTTCTTCCAGATTCATTTCTGTGCCTCCTTCCTCGGGCCCAGAGGGAGATAAAAAGAGTCAGGCCTCTTCACAGCCACCATTAGAGAGACTAGGTTGACCCGTGGCATGAAATTAAGGAGCTGAGGCCCATTGAGCTGCCCAGCTGATAGAGGCAGAGGATAATAAATCCACTGAGAAAGAGGAAGGGAGGGAAGAGTGGAGGGAGGTTAAGAAGGAGGGGGTGGGTGGGATTGATGTGGCAGCCCATGCAGCCTCAGGGGCACTCAGGATCCCTTTATTAGCATGGCTATTTTCACCCTCTCCTTCAACGGTCTGTCTCTTCATTGAGCAGAAGCATCAACATGCACACACACACACACACACACACTAAAACACCCTGTCATATACTTTGTTTTCCCTTTCACTTTCTCCATGCTCTTTCATAATGAGGCAGCTGAAGTCAATGACATATGCAGCATGTAGCTTTGCTGGACGTGCACAAAATGGTAGAAATGCTAGAAAAGGTTAGATAGTTTGTGTGTGGACATCTACAAAAATATTCATAGGATAGATGGTAAGGTCACTGAAATAAAAAGAGATACCTGCACATAAATCGTAGCTTCCTTAAAGGATTAGGTTGGCTGTATTTTATATTATCAACAAGTCCCATAACATGTCTGGAATTAACAGTGCATCTCTGAATACGTTCCAATATGCCCAGCCTGTCTGTGGCTCTTAGCCCCAAGCCCATTCATTTCTAAGGTCTGTGGCACAGAGGAATAAACTGTATCAAGCTTTGGCAACACTTGTTAATAGGATCAATTTATTATTGATTTTGGTATTTTCGTTGTGTTTGTTGACTATAAACAATATAGAATATCATCAGAGGCTAATAAATTATTAGTGTGCAGCTGGTGGAATAGATTTTCAGTATGTAGATACTTTTATTTCATGCACAAAATGTTCATTCACAGACAAAGGAAGTACACATAACATACCCCAACCACTCTGTAGTTGCAATATAAATTGTGTTTTATGTGGACCCAGACAAAGAACACAGATTAGGAGGCTTTAAGTTTAATATTTTAATTTAATGTTTACAGTTTTTAGAGATTGATTCAGGAGATGGGATGGCTGGTTATGAGAGAGGGAAGAGCTAGTTGCAGGCAGACCGGGATCCTGAGACACAAGGAACCACAGGCTAAAGCACAAAACAAGAAGAAACTGAATATTAAACACATGGACTGAGTTCGCTGTGAGAGTAGCAACTGCTGAGATTGAACAAACAACCTGGTGTTGGATGTGTTTAGAGCTAAGGCTGAAGTAGTGCACACAGACGAGCTGATGCGATACAAGTGAGCCGACTGGAAGTCATGATGAGCTATTGCAGACATGTGTGCAGAGCCAGGAGCCAGAAAGGGATACCACGCCGACACACACACACACACACAAAAGAGAGACAGACCAACAGGGGAGCGCTGGAAACCCAAAGAAAAGGAAAATGCAGGCCATGGCCATGACATAAATATAGTATATGAACATGTAAATATTCATGTTCGTGCATCATTTATTTGTATAGCATTTATAGCAACAAGAAAAAAGGCAAAAATATGTACATAATACATGGTAATGCAATGAATAGTGTGTAAATAAACACAGGGTGTGCATGTTTTTTCACCAATGTGTTTGACAGTGGCATGAAAGAGAGAAAGAGGGACTGCAAGATTAAACCCAAACTTGGCAGAGTTTCATGCAATCCGACGCAACACTGGCGCAAAGGGAGCGCTATTCTGAGGGCTTTTCATAAACCTCTCCGTTATGAATTACTGCTTATGTAATTGGCATTCAAGCACCAATTGGCTGTGCACCACGACATGAGGAAAAGCCTGGAAAAATGATCTGACGTCACATCTGAAAACCTAGGCATTCACAGCAGAGTTGGATCCTGCATTTTACTGTAAAAACAAATACTTTTCATATCTTTAATACAGAGAGGCACCACTGATTCACCTTAGAAAGCAGATTATTTGCTTTAAAGCAAAGAAAAGGGCTTTTAATATGACAGTCTGACAACAACTAAAATCTATATTAGAAATACACAAAACTACAACACGCTCGAATTTTATTGGATTTTCTTCCTAAGAAATGCTTCCTTCCTCCTTAAAAATAATTATGTGAGGTCCGGTTGTCTACACTTTGATAATTAAAAGACACTCAACGTAAGCAGATTTTAATGGAAGTCTTGGCATGAACTCAAAGTTATAATCCTGGTGTAATTATAATCAAATCTGATTCTTGCCCATTTCTTTGCCATCTGTTCTTTTTGACTTAATATCATGTTTTCTTTCTTTCCTTCCTCCTCCCTTCTTTCTTCCTTCCTTGCCTGCAGGATTTTAAGGACACAGTCGCTTGAATGGTATTATAACAATGTGAAGAGTCGCTTCAAGAGGTTCGGCAGCGCCAAGGTTTTGAAGACTCTGTACAGGAAGCACATTATAGAGAGAGGAGCACTCTCTGATCTCCCAGGTAACATCATCCTCTTGCACTTTTTAAATCAGCCATGCATGGCTCTTTGTTTTGTTGCCATTCTTTTGCTGTTTATTTTTATCTTTTAATCATTTTGATTGCGGAGCAGCCTTCTGTCTCTGTGCAACGTCGTATCATGTTGTGATAAAAGCAATTTTCACCAATTTGGCCAGAGATGTAATACAACTTCCTCATCTCAAAAATAGAAGTGGCTTTATTTGAAACGCAACGCTCTGGTCAGACATTAAGAGTAAACACAGACAAGCTGACTTGATTGCTCATTAGTTTGCTTTGTTAAATGATCACTCACTTTGTTTTACACATTTTGTTCTCTCGTTGACTGATCCACTTAATTACTTTCTCACTATGTAGAAAGAAAGATTTTTCCCGCAGACAAATACACACATCTCCAGAGTTAGGTTCAGAGTGGGTGTTGTTGCATTGTAACTATTTGTATTTTCACTTTTCTTACTTTAATTTGATCACAACACAGTTTATCTGATTTGAGGAATCCACTTTCTTCCATGGCTGCCATTTAATTTTACTCTTTGTTGCTTTTGCGCCTGTGGATGTGATGAGAACTTGTGAAATTTCTACAAGGCAGTGTTTGTGTGTGAGCATGTCACCAGTGATGGTGACAGAATGCGGGTGAGCTGCCCTGCAGGACTCGTCCTGCCAGTTAATCCCTGCGGTGGCTCAGGCCACTTCGCGTCCTCAGTGAATTGTTCCTGTGCAGGACAGCAGTGGGGCAGCTTTTATCCATCCTCCCCCGCTCCAGATAACATTGTTTTGACCCGTCTGCGACATGATCGGTCTGCCTCTGTGGCTGACTACAAGGCATTATTTCAAACCCTGGTACATGGGATTAAATGGATGAAGAGAGCACAGAGGGGATGAATCAGGTCAGACTTGAGGCAGAACTGGATGAGATGAGAGGATGTTTAAGAATACTTTGTGACTACAGCTGACATTTATATATTAAGTGATATGGACAAAATTAATACCAGCTACAGCTACAGAATAAGGCTAGTAACATTTATGTCTGTTATTAATGCAGCATCATTACATTTTACTTTTTGCAGACAGTATTGTGAAAGCCGACACAACTATCTTGATAAAAACATAACGCATATATACAGTAATAACACAAAGACAATTGAAGAAGTGCTCTATGCAGACAATAAAGAAAACCCTAAAAGGTTAATGTGATAAAAGCAAAGAAAAAATCCATCCAAGTGCCTTTAGTCCTTTTATTAACTATGATGCATGCATCAGTCATAATCTCCAGTGTAAGAAAGGAAAAACTAATTTTACAGATAATTTACTTAATTTTTACTAACATAATAATATGTCGGAATCTTTATCAGAACAGTCATGTTTTATGTTGCGACTGTTTCTGTTGTGTAAGAGAGGACAAGATGATTCTCCCTCTAAACCTCCAGTTTTCTGATTTCCTCTCCACTTTTCTCCACCTAATAATCTTCCTACCCACACTTCTCCTGTCCTCTCCTCTCCTCTCCTCTCCTCTCCTCTCCTCTCCTCTCTTCTCCTGTCCTCTCCTCTCCTCTCCTCTCTTACATCATCTGGGGTGGAGATGGAAGGATTATGTGACTCAGCTGCCGGTCTTCCCGGCTCACATGAGCCCAACAGATTATAATGCTTCCAATTCTCAAATACTCGCATTGCTGCTCCCACTAACTGGCTAGCTGACTTGCCATATGATTATGGATAGACTGTGTGTGCATGTGTAGGTTGCTTGTGTGTATCTGAATGTTAAAGCTCTGGTCAGATGTTGTTCCCTCATACAGGAGAATGTTAGATTTATTGGCTGAGAAAGATCTGGTATCATTTCTTTTTTCCATTTTGTGTATCCTTGTGTGTGTTTCCATGGAAATGTCTTGTTTTTTTTCCCTTCTTCACCCACCCCCTTTTATGTTATATATCTGATTGAATTCAAACATATTGTCAAAATGTTAGCCAAAAAAAATGCCAAGGCTATCAGACTTATCGAAAACATGATTAGGCTTTAATTTATTTGAAAGAAAATGCCTTTTATAACCTCTTTTGCTGCTGATTAGGTCTATAGCAGTCACAAATTATCATGACGTATATCAAGACATCTGTGCTTTTAGTTGAACAGAATATAATGATATTTTAGTTCAGCAAGTAAATTAGCACTGGATTGGAAAAAAATTTAATTAGATAGGGATGTTGCTCATTAACAAACTGATGTTACGCCATCTCGCTTGGTCTACTTTGCTCCAAGAAAAGGAGCTTTTGTTATGTAGCCCAAAGACTCTTCCAGAGTCTTAATACTGGTCTCCTCTCCTCATGCATATAGAACAGCAGCCACAGGAATGTAAAACATTCTCGTAAACTGTTTCCCAACCATATGTGAAATAGAGGCTGCCTCTATACGTGTGCTAGTAAAGAATGTTTCATTTTTTTCATTTATCACCAAGGGACCAATGGTTGTGAAATCAATTCTGTACAAGTGTGAAATGGCAGCTGAACGTGACAGTCGGCGAGAGAGAGATGTGACTGTTTTACATCTGTCATGTCCCCGAGAGAGTGTGTGACCTTCAAACCAACAGGAAGAGGACAGGGAGAGAGCGATTTGTACTTTCACGTCCATCAGCTCCGGTGGTAGGGGAGCAATGCTCCTGTGTGACCTATATCATACCATCCTATATATGTGTGTGCACAGGAGAAAGTGAGTGTGTTACTCTACATGATATGTGGCCCCTGGAGAGTTTTAATATTATACATGGATGAAGTGTTGGTGACAACATGCTGTAAAGAAGAACCAATAGCACATTAGAAAAGAAAGAAAGAAGATTTAAATGGAATCACCCATCTATTGTAATTTTTGCTTGAGCAGCTGGATTTCCTTTTTTTTTTCCTAACTGGTCCAAGTACCTCACTAAGTGCATCGGCAGATGCCAAGCACTGATCCGAGTGCCTATTAAATTAGTAATTAATGCCTTGACTCCAGTATAGCATGAAATCAAACAAATAAATGTGAACAGCAGTTGTGTTTACTCATATATTTATGAATCCTGAACAGTCTTAGCCTGTGGAGCACAAGAGGTTATGTGTCAACAAACTGAGTATTATTAGATGTGACAGAGAACTGTGGAGACACTGTATAGTGTTGTGGTAAAAGGTTAGAGGAAAAAAACTGTTCTTTCAAGTAAGATAAGCACATAAAGCATCTTATTTTTCTAATTGAAATGAACTAATACAATAATATCTGTACAAGTGGATAAGCACATTCTTCGGATTAGGTTTGAGACAGAAGAGTGAAAAAATCAACATATAAGAGTATTACCTCAGAGTACATATGCTTTCTTGCCAAGAATTATATGAAAAGATTAATGCCACTAACATGTCTCTATGCTAAATATGAAACTACCACCAACAGCCAGTTATCTTAGCTTAGCATAAAGACTGGAAAAGGGAAAACAGTCAATACATTTGTTTCATTTGTGCAAAAAGGTGTGACACTATCTAGTCTCACAGGACCCTTGCTAGGCAGCTGGACTTGCAAGATCACAAAATCACACGAGAATCCATCTTGCCAGGCTTCAAGCTATGCGCTTGAAGTGGTACCGACAAAATCACCAACCTGTGAGGAACTACTGACAGCTACAGGCGTGGTTTAACACTAAGTGTGTGTGAGATGACGTGTGAGAAAACAAGAATGGTGACTAAAGAGATTAGTGGAGATGCTGTGTGACAAACAAGCTGCAACCTCCGTGGCTCTAAAATTGAAGCCAATGGGGAAGTGCGAAAAGTTTTGGTCTAAATTTCCCATTCATGACCACTGTACAGGGTGGGTAATTTTGACATACTCACCTGTTTAAATTTGACTAAGGCTATAAATTGTGCATAATTGTGTGACCACTTTGAGTGACACACTTGAGGTGTGTGCCGTCACCGGCAACTGGATTAAACAGAATGTAATATGTTAGGTGCTGGTAGGCAGATTGTGTTACCTTTAGACAGAGTCAGGTTAGCCGTTTCCCCTGATTCCAGTCTATGCTAAGCTAACCTAACCAGCTGCTGGCTGTAGCCTCATAACAGGTATGAGAGTGGTATCAATCTTCTCATCCAGCTCTCAACAAGAAAGTGAAAGAAAGCAAAGCCTTCCTTTAAAGAGTATGGACAAGTTTATTTGAGGACTTGTGTGAGCGAGCCAAACCCGCAGACATTTCTGATGCACCTTTCATATTTCGTATCTCTTTCACTATATGCATATCCTTTGCTGTGGCTTTGCCTCTCTCTAAAATATATCTGAGGGGTGTTATGTTTGTTTCCACCGTGATAAATTGGTATAAGCACACTGGCTAATACTTGTAACAGCTCAGCCTTTAATATCTCCATCACAGAGTAATTTTTAAACATCACTCTCTACAGTACCTCTCTAGTCTGGTTTTATGGTATAGCATCATAAAATTTGCCATGAAATCCAATTTGATGAGTCTGTTATGAAGTATTTAAAGCAGGAATGATGATTTTTTTTTTTTTTTTTGGACACTTAGGTCTCATTCATTTCAAACGAAGGATTACTGTCATCCCACTTTTCTCCTGCCTTTTGTGTTTGCTGTCAGATCCCCTCAAATGTCTGTGGGAGGCTCCCCACCTTTCCAGTAAGATGAAGTTGACTTGTGAAATGATCAAACATATTATCACCTTCAAACATGCTATTCTCTCTGTTGAGAAAATTGAGAGAGAGAGAGAGAGAGAGAGAGAGAGAGAGAGAGAGAGAGAGAGAGAGAGACAGAGGGGAAAAACAACAAGAAGGAGAGAAAGAAAGAGAGAGAGGAGCAGAGGAAAAGCAGTGCAGTGTTTTGAAGCTTTCTGTGGCTGCAGCCGTATTTTCAGAATGATAACAGAAGAAGAAATTATGTCCTTGTGTGTGTGCACGTCTGTGTGTGTTTTTGCACTATATGTCTGGTGTGCACAACTGCCAGACAGAGACTCAACCACACCAGAGA